TACAAATATTGTCAGAGCGCTAAACTTGGTTTCTCCACTCATGCTGCAGAAATGCCAGCTTTTTCCGTTAAATTTACAAACGTAATAAAATACAAGAGAATTTACATGTGTATCCTTTTCAGAATGTTTTGATATCAGGGATTGGGATTGCTGTTCTTTTCAACCAGCATTTTAAGTAATGGCCAACAAAGTAAAAAAGGAACAAATGTACAATAAACAATCATGTTATTGCATGACTGCAATATGATGAATTCAAGCGCGTGATATTTATAATCTTTAATACAACAAAAACTCAATTACTATGTTTGCAAACTGCGAAGACCCATCAGAATAGAGACCATCCTGTACCTAGATAGTGGTAGCACTACACATAATATTATACAAAGATCATAGTTTTTAAGTTATTATTTTCAGCGTTTTTTCCAGAACACCAATGCACAGGCACTGTCTGTTATATCTAAGCAACGGCGCACAACATCCATATGAAACAGCATAATATACACCCCAAATGGATCGACCTTACAGTTTTCCAATTAAAGCTATAATCCACATTGATCATTACTACTGAATCAGCACAAAAAGCACCAGCAGCAGCAACAATGATGATAATAATAATACTAGGAGCACTGTGCACTACAGCAGATCAATCGTTGACAAAGATCAGAACAAAGTTTCAGGGCAATGATCACTTCACCATGCTAAGCATATACTATTAAATTACTAAGGAGTGCAATTTGCTATTTCACCTTGTGATTTTCAGCAGCTAGGGTCTCCTTGAGTGATGGTGCCTCTGGTGAGTCGGTCATGCTCATCTGTGCCTGCAGACCTTCAGCTCCATGGTTCCCAGCAACTGCAGGTGCTGTGTAGTAGTCTGATGCCATGATCCTGTCTAACTTGGACCTCACCGCAGCATCTACAGCAAAAGGCCACAAATTTCAATCAGCAATCACCTCAAATCAAACCAAATTACAAACCTATATCAACCCTCACATGTAACAGAGGAAACAGGGTGGATCGGCGCATCAGCACGGGTTAGCCATAGGCGGGCATGATGGGCACAGGCCTGGAGTGCGTCATGGTGGGAGACACCATCTGCGGAAGAAGGGCGAGCCGCGGCAAGGGCCGCCACAGCAGACACTGCGTCAAGGTCGTTCTCCACGAGCAGGTCCACGGTATCATCCCATACGTAGCCGTGGGTGATGCAGCTGCTCCGTTCGTTCTTGCGCGCAACCATGGTGGCGATGAACTCGTTCGGTGACTTGACATAAAAAAGGAGCCGAAGTAGATGAGCGCGAGGAGGTCCTGGATGGACAAATCGG